GAGAAATCAGAAGATGAAGATGCGAACTATCAGGCAGAAAGTCGCAGGCGTCGAACAGAAAGCATCAGATGCGAACTGTCGGGCAAGTCGGCGTCGAAACAAGGACGACGCAGAAGCGAATAGCTGAGGACGTCATCGTCAAAATCGAAGAGGGAATCGTCGGCGTCGAAGAAGTCGACGCAAGCGAACGAAGCTAAAGTGACGAGCGAAAGCGGAGTGTATGATAGAGACGAGGTGTGAGCCCTCTCGTTCGAGCGATAATCATAGGCGACAGAAATCTCCATTTGAAACCCTAGCAAAGCTCTCGACCGCCATATATATATATATATATATATATATATATATATATATACCTCCAACCACCTTTAATGTGCCTAATGATTCGAGTACGACCTCCTTAAGGCCAATCGTGTCATAGAGGATTTGAATCCCCGACCTGAGGGGTCTTATACCCTAGATGTCAACTAATAGGTGGCACGCGCGCACACACACATATATATATAACATCATTCAATGCATGATAGTAAGTACCTACAAACCTATAACAATCATAACAATGTGACTAATAAAGAAAAAACATATCAATCAAAATAAATTTTGTCCAAGTATCATTAATTACTAATACAATATAATTGAGAAGAACCAAAATATTATCATATATTAAAAGTACGAGTACTCATCTCAACTTTGATTAATTTGTTATTAGATTTGTCTTGTCGTCAACTATTCTAAATTGAAAACTTATTACATAACTTTAAATTATTATTTTAATTAACTATTAACTTTGCATTATTTATGCAATAAAATTTTCATATTTTACTTTACTATTATATATGTAAATATTATTATTATTAATTTTATATTAAACCAATTAAATAACTTTATTAAAGCTTAATCAATTGAGCCCTAATCCAGACGATGACAGCTTCTTTTTTCTTCTTTCATCTGCACGTGAGATCCGGATCACATGAGAGCTCTTCTACAGAGCTACAATGTCATCCTCTTTGACTCCTTTGATCGCAGCTCGACACCCATGTCGGCTCTTCATCTGTTATGCTCTTCTTCTCCCATGCCGCCGCTCCTCTCCTCCTTTTTTCCTCCTCTTCTACAATGGTCGGCTAGGGTACAGTCGAGCGCCCCAATGCATAAAGCTTCCCTTCCTTCTACTTCCTTTCTTTAGCACGCGAGCATAACATTGCTGCCCTAACCTACTTGACACGGTAGATAAGTTGACTTCGACGATTTACACAACGAACTTCACCTCCATGGCCTCTAACCCCCTTCGCTTCCTCTCCCCTCTATTCGGCTTTTCATTTCCTCTCCCTCCCTTCGGCTCTTTGTTTTCTCTTCTAGCACTTTGTTTTATCTTCCACGGATAACTAAAACGGGACGTCATAATTTTTTAGTAGGAATTTTGAAAATGTTGGGTGTGAGATTTAGTCACAACACAAAGTGAAGATCAATAAACAACCCTCTAGAAAAAGCAAACACAAAAATTCAAAAAGAATACTCTATTAACTCATCTATGTGAAAATCCATCTTAATTTTTTTTAGTAAAAACAAAGATTTTTTTTTTAACATGACACAAGCAACCATCTTTCTCCAAGAGACGCCGAAGTCATTTTGAAATGAAGAAGGGAAGAGAAAGTGGTCGGACCACTTATAAGTGCCACTTAGTCAGCCCCCCACCCCCGGGCTTGCCCTTGGCTACTCCACAACACATGACTCCCAACCATATGTGAACTTATAGCCAACATTCCTATGAATTAAGTTCACAAAAAAACAAAGAAACACTTTTACTTACCATATTGCACAACCACATAAAATAAACAAAACTGTTTAGAAAATGTTTCAAAATAAAAAATGTATTCAAATTAGCAAGCATTCCTCTAGACTTGGTCTTTTGTAATTGAACCTCTTTGATATGTGGTAGTTCTCTTAGATTAAGCTCTAGTATTAGGCCCACCTCTTAGGCTTATAGCCCAACCTTTGAGTCATTATGATGTCCCACATCACCTTGGCATAGAGTTTGAGGTGATTTCTATTTTTATCTTGAATATCATCAGATCTTTAGATGGTGATGAGGAAATCATCATGCACAGCTGATTCAATGCCTCTATAGCACCAGTAAATAAAATAAACAGAAGTGCAGCAAGTGTCATTTCAATGGATGAATTTTTTTGAGCTATTTCTATCATAGAAAAACTAAGTAAATGAGCTGAAAAAGATACATATTTATAATTATTATAAGGAAAATGTTAGAATTATATGAAATAATCTTCATGGTTATTTATAAAAGGCACGAGAATGCACCTTACCATGATCCAATCATAATTGAATGATATTTCCCATAAGTTTACCTACTTAAACTACCAGAACATAGCTAAACCGAGTGTCTAACGTTGGACTATAAATTGCTACAGCCATCAATGTCTTGGATCGAAAATTTGGCTTAACTCCACCAAATACAACAATCATAAGAGCGTATTGGTGGTCACAAATTAAATTTTTAATGATTGTGTAGGTGAAAATAGCTCCAAGAATGAACCTTGATCTTGAACGAATCTTCTAGAAATCAGTGACAATGTCCACTATTTTGCTAGATCAACTTCATTCCCAAAGAGAGGTATTTTGAGATGGACTTTAAAAATGTGGAATCTTGAAGTAGCAAAATATTTAGGAAATAAAAAATTTTAAAATAGATTAAGGAAATCAAAATCTTTAAAATAGATTGTACAATTATGAGCGCACATTATGATGAACAGAGCTCTCTGGCATGTTATTCATAGAAAAGCGAGCCCTGGAATGTTTTAGTAGCCCTTCGGTCGATGTCTCCACAAATTTTGTGTGCGACCAAAGGCCACATGTGAGATAGATTATGACCCAATCAAAGTAGGCCAGCTCAACTTGTACCGATTGATTATGTCAATCCAAGGACTCACGCGACCTTAATTTAGCATATTTAATTTAAAAGCCCATGGCAATGTGTTGAGTTTTGTGGAACAATTATCATGTTCTTTTGAGCTTGCTTGGACTCCAATTTGAGAAAAATAAATAAAATTTGGCACCAATTCAATCATTCTAAATTTCTTTGAAATAAATGTGCATTAAATTTTGTTCTTGGAAAGATAGGGATTTTTACGATAACAAAAGTTAGCAAATCTAGAGCAACCTAGCCATTGATTAGGGGTTTAAATGAGGCGAGCTTGAGGGAGCTAATGCTTTGTTCGTGTTCAGCTCATTTGTATTAGCTTGTGTTCAAAAGTGGCTTGTGGTCAAATTAGGCTCGTAAGAAAATTGTTCGTGTTCTACTCAATATTGATTGTTTTGTTTGAATTGGCTTATGCTCAGCTCGATTTTCCAAGCATTAACAAAATTAATTAAAATTTATAAGGTGCAAATTTCTAACCTGCGCCCATCTTTTGCAATAGAAGGCACTTAAACCTTTACTTTGGTCGAGCCTTATACCGTGCGAAGCCTCTTCTCCCTCCCTCAACGAAAATTGGATAGCACCAGAGCAGGCTCTGTCTTTCTCCCCTCGCAAGTTTCCTAGCCTAGTCAACGGTGCACGAGCGACTCTTCTTCCTCTACGACGCTTCTTCCTCTCCTTTGTGTGTGAGAGATCCGGACGAAAGCCTTCCTCGCAAGAGAGCTCCTCCTTTGATCGAACTGCTCGAAGCTCGACTTCTTCCTTTGTAGCGAAAGCCACGAGCTACTCGTCGTCTACTCTGGCCTCGCACCTCATGAACTTTCTGGTGTTGGCTCCCTCTCGGTTGAAGTCGCGCCTCAAAGCAACAAGCAACTATGCGATCTTTTTCCTCTCTTGAGCCAACCCTTGAATGGCAGAGGGGTAAGATTCGTAAAAAATCAACCCTCGAACGCGGCCGCAAATTCGATCCACAGTCGGCGTTTAACCAAAATAGAGGGACGTCGCTGCTCAGCAACCGTCCCAAACGGACGAAATTCGCGGCTGTCTCTTGCACCGCGCTCCGGACGCCGATCCAAACGGGGCCTTAATCTTATATATAAATACATATAATATATTATTATATGAATAATATATATATAATTTCCTGATTTTGAGCTAAAATAAGTCGAACACGATTAAACAAAGGGTTGTTCATGATCGGCTCGTTTATAATTCGAGCTTAAAAAATTTATTTGAGCCCAACTCGCTTACATAACGAATGATTCAAACACAAGCTACTTCATGAGCCAAATATGAGTTATTCATGAACGAGTTCTTTTGACACCCCTACCATTGATAGCCTCTCCAATAATAAATTGCATTGTTTCAACATGAAGTATGATGACAATGATAATAGTTATCGCTAAATAATTAACAACACAAATAGCAAAGAGAAGAAAGTGATAAAGAGCTAGATGAAATGATGGAGCTTTAGCAAGGATCGACTTTTTTATTTTGACAATCTCGGTTCCACTAAGTGAGCTTATTGTAACATAGACTCAACATTAGAGCAAACTAATTGGTGAAAATTCATTACAATTGAGAATGAGGCTTGTATAAATATTGTTAATGCATACTCGTGGATTAATGGAATTCAAGGAATGGACAAAAAGCTTCTTTTTAAACCATAGAAATTATTAGAACTTTATCATATGTGGATTTCAGAAACTGCATTGGCACAAGGCAATAGAGTCTTTTTCTTATGGTCTGCATCTGAAATAAATTATGATCAAGTTTTCTAAAGATTAATTGTTAAATAATCTCTTTCTGTTGGTATAAATCCAAAAAAAAACATCATCCAAGTTTAGACGATGAATGACATGCACATGTGAGAGAACAAAAATACAAGAGTTTCCACAACGAGTGAAAGGGACGGACAAAATGACCAAGCTCTTAATTTTATTGCTTGAATTGACAAAATATGCATATTTTAGATTTTTTGCCGTTAAAACACAAGGCCAAGAATAACTGTCTTTGCTCCTAGAATAATTGAATAAATACTAAAATGGATGGGTCCATTGAAGCTACCTACCTAGCAGCTGGCTCAGAAAAGAATCTGCCTGCTTGTCTCTGTCGAAGAACATGAAGATCACCACCAGGGCAATATTCCATGACCGAGCAAGAAAGATTATCAGAGGTGAAATGAGCATAAAGGGTTGGAAGAAATGGATGGTCAAGCATTTGAAGTATCTCCCTTTCTGTTTCTGCTCTCAGCAACTTCTTTCTACTAACAAGAAACTCGGTATCCACAACTTTCAGGGCATATAAGCAATCCGAACCAATTAACTGAGCAAGATAAACGGTCCCAATATCTCCACAGCCAAGTTTCCTGAGTAACATAAAATTCTTTAAGTCTATATCCACATGTTTCTGTGCAACATTGCAGACTGCAATCCATCTCACATCCTTAGACATATGGGGCCTGCTGCCATTTCTACCTGTGATAAAACAATTTTTGTCTTCGCTGATGGTAGTGCTGCTGCTATAATCACCAATGCTACTTTTTGAACTATGAGAGCACTCCCCCTTTTCTCTTGATCTCAATGTTTCAACCACTTTAACATCATTTGAGTTATCATTATAGCAGCTAACTTGCCATACATTCAGATTATCTTCACTTACGTTACTATATGTGGTTTTGATGGGCGGCACATAAGAATTTGTATTACTGCATGAAGGAGAAACATAATCTTTGAGGTGATTCAACTTAGTTTTACCAGAGACTGAACCAGATATTTCGGATTCATTGGATTTTACAGAAGTACGAGATTTCCCATCATTCACATGCTTTGTATTCCTTTTATCAAAACATTTTCTCTTCAACAATGGTTTTTTCAGTATCGGTCCCACGCTAACCTTGCTCAACTCCACCTTCACTTGATAATCAACTGTGGAAGTTTTGGGCAAAACCTTTCCCTTTATTCTAATCAACTCTTGAGCTGAAGAACTTTCTGCAGATTCCATTGGTTCCTTACTTATGGGTGAAGTTGCAGAACAGTGAGAAGAAATCAAATTTGCAGTGTATGATTTTGCGTTTTGAGCAGAACATACATCACTCATATTCTCAGGAGAATAACTTTGATTTCCCTCAGGAACTAAAGGATGTTCCATTGCATTTTGTCTTACTTTGGCAGACGGGTCAGTCTCCATAGCATGGAGCACAACAGAAGTATACAAATTTTTAATAGTTTCAACATCATAGGCACTGGAAGCTTTATGCGGCAATGATAATCTCTTCATAGCTGCCATCTCTGCTGCATGAGAAAGGCATAACCTTCTTAAAGCTTGTTTCAAAGTTAGTGATTCAGAAATTTCTTGTCTAGGCATATGAGAGATTCCAATTACTTTCTTTAGAGTAGATTTATTAAGCAAATCCACAGCTTTCTGGCAAGAAGGGCCCGAAGCCCTGGAAGGCCCTCCAGTAAGATCATCTTCCACAGATAGTTGAAAAGAACTCTCAGCAGAGTCATCTCCTTTAAAAGTACTAATGTACGTCTTGCATTTGCTCGAATGAAAAATATGATCCTGTGCTTCTATTGATTCAACAATTTCAGACACAGAACCAGAAGAAACCATTTTTGTATATCTATACCATAAGCCAAACTTTTCAGACTATCCAACTTGACCAGATGTTCAGACATAGCATTACTAAGCGACACACAATTCCTTCCACTGTTGAAGAAATACAAATGTGTACAAGAGTACTATCATTTTTGCCTTTCAAACATGTAGAGTATGGAGTGTTAAATATATGGATCACTAATCTGGCAATATGATCTACAACTCTTCAACACGCTTCTATCATAATTTGCAGCCGTTTAAAGCTGATGATAACCAGTTGAAAAATACTCACATAAAAGGAATGACATCAAAGAGCCGGAACCCTTATATTGCATCTCAAAGAAATGAAATCCTACATATGATAAATCAAGTAGACAGATAAAATGAGGAAATAGCATAAAATTTAAGAAATCGTACATCTGATGGTTGAAGTGGACAGACAAGACAAGGAAATAGCATAAATTTTAAAAAATGCTCCATTTGCACCGTCGTTCCATTGCTAATAAGCAACCAACAAATTTAAAAACTCATAGCGACGGTTTTTGTTAATTAGATCATTTCCACAATCAACATATCAACAATCTAAGCCTATAAAATGTCATAATGAAAAAGCTAAAGTAAACTCTCACAAGCTTATGTATGTCAATATAGTAGACGTGCACTCAACAAAGCGTTGCTTCCTGTGCGCCAAAGTGTCTGAGAAATTTAAATGGAACACTTTGAGACTTTGAGCACTAGTTGACTTATGCAGGTGCATGTGGTCACATTGGATGGTTGAGTTCAAATTTAAATTTTTTTAAATTATATTTCGCCAAAAGACGCAAGTTTAAGAATAGTGTCACTAAATAATGTATCATAACATTTTAAATAGCTCATAGTTTACAAAAGGTGACATTTCTTCACCAAGGGACAGTGAAGGCCAAACATACTCTATAAAAATACAAGGTTCATCATTGGCCAACAACACTACAACCTTCTAAATTAAATTCCTTGACAAGTTCTCAAGCTCCAAATTTATTGTGTGTAGGTTTAACTGATTGGGTTGTATATTGGGAGTGATTAGTCCAACAAATTCAACCAAAGTGGAGACAACTACTACCATAAAGAAAGTGAACATGCTACCAAAAAATCATTGAAAATCCAGTCTACTTCTAACTCCTAACGATTTAAGAAGCAATCATGGCTGCAAAAAATTCAGGTGCTTCTTTCAAAACTATGAGTCAAGATTTCATCAAGTCAAGAGAATTTATTGACACAAACTTTGACATTGGAAGGCCAAGTTGTTGTTCTTATCAACAACAACAACAAGCCTTTATCCCGCTAAGTGGGGTAGGCTGCATGAATCATTTTTCTCCACTGCGTCCTATTGAGTGTCATATTTTCATTTAATTATAATAAATTAAGATCATCTTTTATACAATAAGCCAAAGTCTTTCTAGGTCTACATCTGTCTTTCTTAACATAAGTCGAATCTAAAGCATCTACTCTCCTAATCAGATCATCAGATGGTCGCGTATGTGACCAAAACATCTAAGATGACTTTCTATAATTTTGTCCGTCACTAGAGCTACACCAACCCTAACGCGGATATGTTCATTTTGCATTGTGTCTCCAAGTGTCAAGCCACTCATCCACCTAAGCATTCTCGTATCGGCAACACTTAATTTTATTTTATGTTTCTCTTTTAAAGGTTAACATTTTACGCCATAGAGCATTGCAGGTCTCACCGCCATCTTATAAAATTTTCCTTTCGGTCCAAGCGGTTCTTTTTTATCACACAATAGGCCCGAAACATTCCTCCACTTCAACCAATCAACTTGAATTCTACTATTAACATCCCCATCTATATCACCATCGCTTTGCTTTGAACAATAGACTTGAGATATCTAAAGCATCCACTTCAACCAACTAACTTGAATTCTACTGTAGGGAGAGGATGTTGGCTGAAGAGGGCCTGCAACAGGGAGTTTCAAGATTCCAGGGAGAGCAGTTCCTGGCTAAAGGAAGAAGGTCCTGTAGAGGAGGGCCTACACCTGGGATTGAGAATTCCGGAGAGGGCCTACAACCTACAGAAAGAGTACTTCCTACATGAAATAGGGAATATCTGGCGGCCTGCAGGGGTTGCCGCTAATATTTGGGTTGCTGCTGTGATAAGGCAGGAAAAGGAAGAAAACATAGGTAGCTTCTCTGGTGTAAGCAGAAGATAACGAAAGCTTAATAGGGATAAGTAACTTGAGAGAAAATCCAACGGAGAAAGCCAAGATAGAAAGTCGTAGTGATGACGGAAAAGGACTGACGCCTTCAGGAAGATTTCCGGCTGAGAGGCTTCAACCAGCAGTGAGAACCAGATCATTACCATAAACGTCGGCCCTAATCAGATCACAGAGGACGTGTTGGACGAGAATTCCAGTAACATGGATTGGCAAAAGAGAAAGGGAAAGAAAAATTTGTGGCAAAGGGGATCCCGGAGGAACATGAAGCAGGAGCCAGGGACAGGAAGGGCCTGCAGGCTAGATGATGACTGCTGGGAGGATATTGGCGCTGGTAAGCAATTGGAGAGGCTCTGATGTCTGAAATAAGATCTAGGGATTGGTTTGCTCCCTAGCTTGAAGTTCAAGTACTTTGTGATCATCTCCAAGTGTGTTTAGGCTTGCTCCTAGTTGATTGTGGTGGTGCGAGTTAAAGTTGTTGTTTCAAGACAGGTTACTGTTTCTGATGTTGCTCCTGCTGCTTGTTGATACTCCTGCTTTGTTTGGTGTTGAAAGAATATTCTGCTGGAGGAGAAGGGGTCAACAACAAGAAACTTTCAGGTTTTAGGGAGAATTTTGGAGGACCTGCAATAGGGACGCTTCCAGCTGCATGGAGAATTTCGGAGGGGCTTGTAGCAGGGAGAATTTTTGTAACAGGGAAGAGCG